CCTAAACATGACCAGATGCCATCTCAATTTGTAGCAAAATATGGGACGAGGTTTGCTCGGGATTCAGTTGGCTAGCGCTAATGCTGCTAGAGAATCTGAGGCCACCAAATCTCATGACGTGGAGATATCAAAAGGATTGGTGCTACAGACCATAAATGAGCCTGGGCTCGAGACTCAGTCGGGGCGTACAAGTGTAACCTGTGTAGCGAGGATTTGCAAAACTGCAGATTCGAGGTCGAAGGTGCCGAAATCGGATCTGGGTTGCTTGGTAGTTTTTGTGGGCTGGCCACCCTCAGGTGAGGCGGTACAGTTTTAATTAGACCGTCTCAAAACTCATCAATCGTGGTTTACAATTCGGCGTTTGATCGGACAAACAGCGAATCTGAGCGGTCATTTAACGATCAGTCTTCACGAAATCTTAGACTGCTGGCCTTTACAGCAATTTCTGGACCGCCGCCTTCCCTCCTGCTCAAAGCTATTCATTACTATGCATATAGGTCTGCACATAGTGGTGAAGAGATTTTTCTCTTCTTAAAAAAAAAAAGCTTTCAAAAAACTGTAGTTTAGCGCTTGAGTGTCAGCCATTATTATTTTAGACGAGGAAAAACTTCTGCTCGGCAAGTAAAATGTCCAACCAGGTTTCATCTGCAGCATTGTCATCATCCAAACGTTGTTTTAGCTTTTGAAGCAACAGCCTTTCCCCTCAGTGTGCGCAAAAATTCCCGTCGCGACTTCTCGTCGTTGTAGTGAATTGATCCTTCTTCATTTTCATTCTCTCCGGACTAAAGGCCGATCATTTTCACCTGTGCGATCATTATCGTCTCGCTGCTCGTACGGAAGCGCACCGAGCTCATGAGCCAACAAGAAATTCCGAACCTCAGTTATCTGTTCTCGCTCTCGTAGAAACCCTGCTGAATGAAGTCCTCGCTCAGAGCTACTTGCACACTCGAATGCACGCTGAAACTTCTCGGACGAGCGCGGTGTTGTCAATAGCGCATCTATTCCAGCAGGTTCCAGGCTCGCAGCTGCAATCGGATCCACTACAGTGATCACCGGTACGAGCGCAGTTTTGTGTGGAAAATATTTGCAATGTCCAGGAACATCAACTTGTACTCTCGATACTGTAACTTGACACCCGGAGCGTTGCAAATCCAGTTTTCGTGCTAGATATCCTGTGATCCTTGCACCAGTCGTACAGTGCTTCAGAGCAACATCCAAGAAATCGTGCCACCGTGACCTACCAGCAATATAATAGCAGACCCCTCAGTGCCACATATCATCCCTACATCATATGCTTGTAGTCTGTCAACTCACCGCTGTCCACCGAGTACTCTATCAGGGCCTCCAAATTCAAGCTCTGGAAGCGGGTAATCGTCGAAGAAAACGCAGTCAAACTGGCTCAGCATCGGGAGCTGCTGCTGCCACGTCCCAGCTACAATTTCAACTCCACTGTGGCTTATTGCAAACTGGCGAGCACGTTGCAGCGTCTCCTCATCGCATTCGATGATGGTGTGGCTTTTGGGTCGGAACCGTTGGATGTGAGTCGCCGAATAAGCCAAACCGAAGCCGATTTCCAGTACACGGTCCGTCGGCTGAATAGCGAGCCCTTCAACGCATAGCTCCATGTATTCCTTCTCCCACTGCATCATGACCTGCTGTCCGCGGGAGCTCCAGAGCACCTCATGGCCGAGCTCGTCGAGTCCCTTGCTGTTGCCGTGCGTAGTCATCTTTTTGAAATCTCATTTGGTCCGGCTTTTGTGACGTCGGACGAAAGAGCAAATTTGTGGTCAACAACAAAAAAGCTCCACTTAAAAAAAACATTAAATAAGCTAAATAAATTTTATCCGATTTATTTTGAACCAGTACGTGCGGCTTTCCAGCTACCGGTACCGGTACCTGTACATGGACCACTGCTGATACACGGCGCCCCGTCAAAACACGGGGCCCATATCCTCACCTTTAACAAAAGACCACCACGCGATGACGGAGATTCTCAGTTTAAGAGAGAATCTCAGCAAACAATAAGAATCTCGGCGAACAAAAAGTACCATATGTACTCAGAGATATAAAGAGCTCGATGGAAGTGGGTTTTTAATAGACTT